CATTATTAGTTTTTATGAACTATTTTCCAAATAAAATTACTTTTTTTTATTACTGTGGGTAAGTTGTAGGTATTTTGTTGGAAGAGCTATTTCAGTAACACAAATAACTTTCTAATTTTTTCAAAAACACTAAAATTGAAAAACCCCTCTTTTTTCGCGAATTTATTGAAAACATTTTCCTCTAGCATACCTTTATTGTTATAATTAGTAGAAAAATCAAAATTCCAAAATTATAAGTCAATACAGTATTCAAGTTTAGATTTTGGTAAATAGTGCAAAAAAATAATAAAATAAGTAACGAACTTTTTGAAGAAATAAAAATTCCGAGTGACAATGAATCGTATGATGATATTGAGGATAGTGAAGATGACTTCTCGTCAAACGAAGAAAATTTTTCAAATGGATCGTCTGAAATTTCTAACAACAGAATGGAGGAAATTGCAGACTCTAATGAAAGTGATAAGGAAGATGACACTCCTTTGCAAGTTCGTCTTGATGAAATGGATGGAATTTGGGAAAATAAAAAAAGAAGCTATTTTGATCCACCATTCTGTGAACACTGTGGCCCAAAAAATTCCCAGAAAATATTACAAAACCGGGAGAAGTTTTTTTATGTTCATTCTCAGAACAAAACATACGCAGGATTGTTGAACAATCAAATCTTTACTGCAATCAGAAAAAAATTAAAAATTTTGACTCTTACTAGTGAAGAAATATAAAAGTTTCTAGGAATAAACATAATGATGGGTGTGAAAAGATTACCATCATATCGTGATTACTGGTCTACAAACGCACAACTAAATGATTCTTATATTGGTTCTATCATGAGTGTGAAGAGATTTTCCTTTTTACTCTTACATCTACATTTGAATGACGCAAGCAAAGAACCTAAAAGAAATGAACCACAGTATAACAAATTATACAAAGTTGCACCTCACCTGAATATTCTCTCAGAAACTTATACTATGTTTTATAACCCAAATAGAGATCAATCGATTGATGAAAGTATGATCAAGTTTAAAGGCAGGTCGTCCATCAAGCAATACATGCCAATGAAGCCAATAAAAAGGGGTTACAAAGTTTGGGTGAGAGCTGACGACTATGGTTATATCTGCGAATTTCAAATATATACAGGAAAAACACGAAATCAATCCGAAAATTGTCTAGGGGATAGAGTAGTAAAAGATTTGAGTCATGCTTTAGTGGAAAAGCATTACCGTATTTTCTTCGGTAATTTCTTCACAACAGTAGATTTGATGTCATCGTAACTGTCTGATGGAATTCTAGCATGTGGTACGATAAGAAAAGACAGAAAAAATTTACCAAAAATCCAGAAAGTTGATAAAAGTATGTCTCCTGGAGATAATGAATTTCGTACTTCATTTACGGGAGTTCGATGGCTAAAATGGATTGATAAGATGCCAGTACATTTTTTGTCAAACAACTAACTCATGACCGATCAGTTGTATCAGAAGTGAATAGGAGACAAAAAGACGGTACTTTGAAAATAGTTTCAAATCCAAAAATGGCCAAAGATTATAACAATCACATGGGATGCGTAGATAAAGCAGACATGCTCAAATCATATTATGAAATTAGTCGATTAACAATTTATTATATATGTATTCAAACTCAACAATAACTCGCGGATAAATTGAATGTGACGCAGAAAGCTGTCTCAATTCGTTTGAAAGCCATGGGAAAGATTCAGAAAGTGGGAAAATAGGTTCCGCATTAACTGAATAAAAGACAGCAAGAAAATCGAAAAACCACTTGTAAAATGCTACTCGACAAATACAAAAGAAAGTCCATCGTATCATGACAGGTGATGAAAAATGGATATATTTTGAGAATCCTAAGCGTCAGAAATTATGGGTGAATCCAGGCGAACCATCGACATCCACTGCAAGACCAAATCGCTTTGGAAAGAAGACAATGCTCTGTGTTTGGTGGGATCAGAAGGGTGTAATCTATTATGAGCTACTAAAACCTGGTGAAACCGTTAACATTGATTGCTATCAACAGCAAATGATCGATTTAAATTGCGTGAAAAACGGACCGGAATATGGAAAAAAGCAACACAAAGTCATTTTGCTCCATGATAATGCCCCATCACACACAGCAAAACGGGTGAGGGAAACGATCGAGGCGTTCAGTTGGGAAATACTAACTCATGCGTCTTATTCTCCAGACTTGGCTCCGTCCGATTATCATCTAATCGCATCAATTGGACACGCTCTTTCTGAACAACGCTTCAATTCATATAAAAATGTACGAAAATGGCATAATAGCTGGTTCGCTTCAAAAGAAGAAATGTTTTTTTNTTGCTCCATGATAATGCCCCATCACACACAGCAAAACGGGTGAGGGAAACGATCGAGGCGTTCAGTTGGGTAATACTAACGCATGCGGCTTATTCTCCAGACTTGGCTCCGTCCAATTATTATCTATTCGCATCAATGGGACACGTTCTCGCTGAAGAACGCTTCAATTCGTATGAAAATGTATGAAAATGGCTCGATAGCTGGTTCGTTTCAAAAGAAGAAATGTTTTTTTAATGTGGCATTCATAAACTGCCGGAGAGGTGGGAAAAATGTATAAATAGCAATGGACATTATTTTGAATAAAGTATTTTTTATTATTTTCAAACAACAGACGTGTAATTTTTACAAAAAATTTCCGGTTTCAAACTTCTACACCTGGTATATATATATACATATATATATATATGTGGCGGTCGAGCTTCGCCCGCCGTTACCGGCGGCGCCACCGCCCAGAGCGGCCGTGCGCATGAGGAAGCAAGATCTGCAACCGCTCCCAGTCTTCGGACCGGCCTCGGCGTCACCCGGCCTTTCCGGCGCGTCGCGCGCACTACCGGAACCACGAGAGTGTCACGCGGCCTCGCCGGCCAACCACGTGTTCCGTAGCGCGATCGGTTTTTATTTTCGAAGCGTCCCTGCGGTCGTGTCACGACCCCGGCTCGCTCTCTTCCTTCTCGGTTTCTGGACAGCGCGGGCGTGCTCGTGAGTGTTCCCTGGTGTTCACCCCTGTGCGTTCCGGCCCTCGCGACAACGCTCGCCGCCGATCAACAACGTTCGCCGCCGATCGCCTTCGCGACACATCTCGCCGCCGATCGCCCTCGCGACACAGCTCGCCGCCGATCGCCTTCGCGACCCCGCTCGCAGCTGATCTTCCACGCGGCCATTTTTGTTCAACTGTAATTTGCGTTCCGATTTCTGTGTCCCGCGCAGCGATCATCTCTTTGTGCATCGCGCCCATTTTGTTCTGCGTTGCGATCATTTCATTCTCGCCGCTTTCCTTAGTTTTAGCTCTTCGTGTTCCTTTGTTACGTTTGCGTGTTTGTACATATCTGGTAAAATACAGCTGCGAGTGGGCAGTCATAAAGACTCCGCCTCATTAGCGCATGCCCATTGGGCTACCTGAACTAGAGTTCTTACTCTCCTCCTTCCTTTCCACACGCGCGGTGGCCATAATCCCTACCGTAGTGCCATATATATATATATATATATATATATATATATTAGTAATACAAACAAGTTTCCGCCGTTTTCAAAAGATGGCTCCACCGACAAGATTACTTTGAAATCGTCAGATGTAAAACATCANGAGTGGGCAGTCATAAAGACTCCGCCTCATTAGCGCATGCCCATTGGGCTACCTGAACTAGAGTTCTTACTCTCCTCCTTCCTTTCCACACGCGCGGTGGCCATAATCCCTACCGTAGTGCCATATATATATATATATATATATATATATATTAGTAATACAAACAAGTTTCCGCCGTTTTCAAAAGATGGCTCCACCGACAAGATTACTTTGA